AGAGGGAGAGCAAACCGAGGATGGGTTGAAGGAAAGGCCTCAAATGCCTAGTTGGACAAGTAGTGGGGCAAGGAGGAAAAGTGGCAGGATTGCATCCCAGAGAAAAACCCAACCCACTGCCTCAATTCACATTGATTTGGATGCTGACTCCCTGCCAGTTCCTGAAGGAACTCCATCCCCAGCTCCTCAAATGCCTTCATCACCACCACAACCACATTTCACTCCTTCACCACCTCGACCATCTTCCACCCATTTGGCTTTGCTGCCTATAGCTCTACCGCTGGCTCCTCAGACCTTTACCACCTTCATCAAACTCTCAAAGCCATGTTCTCAGAAATATCAAATGTCAAGCTGCAAGTTAGTGCTTTGCAACAGCAAGTGGCTGGTTTGGAGGAAAAGCTAGATATGAAGATGGACTCTACATTCAAGAACTTCAAGGATGAAGTCCAACAGAGTCATCAACACATCCTGAATACAATCAAGGAGGTCGCTTTTGAGGAAGTCTCTGAGGAGGACGCTACTGCCCAAGCTGGAACATCTTGATCCTTCATATCATCATCCACTATCTTCTATTGCAATCTGATTTCCCATTAATTTAATAGATGTTGACCAATTTTCCTTCCTTATCTTGAACAATTTTCTTTTATTGGGTCTGTAATATTTTAAACCGTTTGACTATGCTCCGTCTAATATCACAAGTTGTTTCCTCTTGAATGTGTGCGTATACTTGATCAATCTTGCATTCGGGTTCACTACCCCCTCCGTAGCGTAGTGCTATATATGGCTGTGTTTGCTTATATTATTTTTGATAATGCCAATATGGGGAAGAGGAATCAAATTCAGTGAAAGCCAAGTGAACACGAGTTTCTTCTCAAGTCCTCAAGTCAAGAAGCAGTAAAGGAGGAGTCAAGGTATAAATAATATATAAACACTGCTTGTATATTGCTTGTATATTTTATTTTTTAAGTCATTACTGTTTTAAGTGCCTGGATGATTATTTTTGTTTAACCGAATTTATTTTGTTTTTCATCATAAAAAAGGGGGAATATTGTTGGCCCTCCTGGTATTTTGATGATTGACATTAACAAAACAAGTTCAGACTAATCAAGGTTGTTAAGTCGTGGTAGAACAAAAGAATTCAGGAAGTTGTTCCGGAGTAGGAGCAAAGGCATTGGAAGTCTTGATATTCATAAGCAAGCTTTCAAGAAGAAGAACAAACTCCAGTCTTTAGTATACACTGTAAGCACTAGAGTTTTTATGTGTAGAGAGGAACTCAGTAAGGAACTTAATGTCTTAATCAGAAAATGTTTTTAAACGTAAGATTTTAAATCAGTTTTATTCCTTAATTAAAGGATAAAATAAAATCAGTTTATAATTAAAGAGATATATTTTCTGTAAATAAATAATAGATAAATAATTGATTAATTAAAAGATAAGTTTGTTAAAGTTTAATCTTTTAAATAATAAATAAATATCTTTTTGACCAAGTAATAGTTGGTTATCTAAATTTAAGGAAGCAATTGAAAGCTTAAGAGAAAAGTCAGGGAGATCTTACTTCCCACTCTCTGATCAACTAACATTAACTTCCAAGGTTAAGGTGAACGTGGATCATGGGATGAGTGGGAAACAAGATTGAGGCTTTCTATCTCTCTATAAAAGGCTTGCAACGAACTCTGATTTAAAGTGGGGAAAAACCATTCAGTTTTTAGAGCTTAAGTTTTCAAATACATTAACTGTCAAAGAACTGAGTTCCTTCCTGCCTTAATCTTCTCTAGTGCATCAGGAAAGTCTGTAATTACTCTTGTAATTGGGATTGGGTTGTGAGTATTGTAAGTGTGAGCTTGAGTGAGCAAAACTTGTTATAAGTGATTCAGAGTCGAATCACAGAGTGTGAGTGAAGCTGCGATTGAGGGATCGTAGTTGGGATACTTGAGTTCCTAAAGGAACTTGAGACTAGGCATAATTATATCGTATGTAATTGAGTTTTACATAATAAAATAATTCAGAAAAGCCTATATAGTGTGTCTCACTTTACTCATATATTTAAATTCCGCAAAAAGTTCACTAATTCCTCATAACTACAATTCACCCCCCCCTCTTTTAGTTACTTAGTTGCTTGGCATCGAAATAACAAGTAGAAAAGAGAAGAGAATAGGCGGAGAAAAAGAGAAACAAAAGGGGCGGAGAGAAAGAGAAGGACGAGATAGAAAGAGGAGGAGTGGAAAAGAGGAGAGAGAAAGAGAAAGGAGAAGTAGACAGAGAGAAAAGACGAAATGAAGGGGGAGGGGTGTCGGTTTAGGGTTTATAAAAGGTAAGGGGTTTTTTTTAATTATATTCCGACGGAATTTTTCTGTCGAAAATTTAATTTACAACGGAATATTTCGTCGGAAAATATATATATTTCGACGGATTTATTTTCTGTTGAAAACTTCCGACGAATTGTTTGAATTCGTCGGAAATTTCCGACGGAATATAAATCCGTCAAAAATTTTTAATTTTCTGACAGAATTATGCGTCCGTCAGAATCGGTCCGTTGAAAATGGGATGTTTTCTAGTAGTGCAAAAAGGGACCTTACACGTGAGGGGGGGTGTTGAAGTAGGATTCCCAAATAACACATGTAAGTGTCCCACATTGAGAAAAGAAGAGAGAGTTAATATAAAGACTTTATAAGGCTAATAAGGAGCTACTCCCTCCCATTGCCATATGATTTTGGAATGGAACCTCTATTGGTCTTGTGAAGTGGACTCTCTCTCTTGATTTGTGGATGCGGCCCAAACTCATATTTAACACACACAATACCTAAATTAGTTAGTAGATTCTTTTATATTTCTTAACAAACCCCTCAGCTCTTACACATAACACATATGGAAGAAGGGCTTCCAACCATTAGGTAGGCCTAATTTTATTCTCAATACGTACCATCAGTTGAAAACTTGATACGGCCAAGCATCCGTTAAATTAATTTGTTGATGTTGTTTTTCGGCTCTTAGCTTGATGAATAAAGTCACATACTCTCGTCCTTCATCGTTTCCTTCACTTGTAATTCTTTGTTGTTGACTTGTTGCTCTAGTTTTACTGCAAATTCGAAGCGTACATCGCGTCAATATCTTTAAATGTTCTGTGTAATATAAAAAAGACAAAATTATAATATTTAAGTTGGCAATTTGAACCATAAATCAAGATTAACAAAACAGGATTCCACATTGATATAACGTCTAATCTACACTTTGCTCAGAACTTATGTTAAAGTTAATTATTACTCTGTACTTGTGTAGTCATGCATCTTTATTAAGGTAATTTGATTTGGATTTTCCTTACTAACCTCTTTGTTGATAGCTTATGAACTTCTAATATATCTAATATTGCTTGTTTGATGCACTGATCATCAGACTATGGATTTATAATACTGGAAAATGCTTAGTTGAATTGAATAAAATTTGAAACTAAATTATAATTGAAGTAAATTAGTTGCATGTTTTGCATTTGGTTTTTTGCTGACTTTGATTATGAGTTTGTGCTAAAAGGGTAGCTAATTAATTTGAAGTAGGTTGGAGCTGAGGATAAAGAAAGAAGGATAAATGTTGTGATTGTGTGGGGTTTGTTGTCACTGTTAGCTTCGAAAGACTCTTAGTCTCTAATAAAGATGAAGGAAAGCAACTCAGTTCATAGAGGTGAGACCTGAGTTATGTGATTAGAGATTCTTAACTTATTTTTTTGGTGAGTATACTAAACAAAGATGAGCAAAGTTTTGATATTATTTGTATGTATAGCCCCATATTCCCTTTAAGTTTATTGAGCTACTGATATTTGAAATAAATATCTAAAGTGCAAGTAAATAAGTAATTAGGATACTTTTTTTTAATTTCATCATCAAATTCAAATGTGACGTACAAAAATTTCAATATTGATACAAATTTTAGTTTGATTAAGAAATTCAAATCATCATTAAATTTGCTTTAAAAAATTGCAAAAAACAAAAAAACAAAAAATGGCCTCTATGGGCCTTATTTGCTTCTGTTATGAACTGGAGTCTTTTACTCCTATTATTGGCTACCTCTACCCCCATTTTAACCGCAACAGTTGGGCTTTTTCTAATAGTGTTAGTTTTTGAAAAATTCTATTCTAACTTTGTTAATTGATTAGTAATACAGGGCGTACATGTACATGGAAGAAGATATATATTCAAGACAAAGACAAAGAGTTGATCAATTAACCCTTTAGATTGTTTATAGTCATTTGACCCATTTCCCTTTTTTAAACGTTGCATTCTATCCCTCGTGTACTGTATCATATATAAGAAGTTAAACAATTATTGGTATTAGAAATGTACTAGATATCTTTCGCAATGTCGAATGCTAAATCCTTGTGCATAATTGGTTCAGGAGCACCTTCATTCAGCTTCTCAGATTCATAGCTTAACTTCATAATGGAGTACTCGCCCTCGGCCTTCGGAGTTACTTTTATATTGGTCGAAGGTCTTATAAGATAAGTCCAATTACATAAAGATAAGTCCAATTACATACATCACCAACCTTATCCAAGGTTAATATTCCATCAGAGCACTTTGAATTGAACCACTCCTTTGAATTTATTGAAGATTCATTTTCCATTATTTCTTTTAAAAGGAGAAATTCTGATTTGTTGAGAAGGGCATCAATAGTGTTTGCTTTTAGATCATATAATATACACGTACTCCTGCCTTATATAATATCTAAACAGGACCAAAGAACAACTGGATCATATTCTTCGTGTTGGAAACTTGGAATAAAACCTTGGAATTATATGATATGATGTATGCAATGTTATTTATTTGAGATTCTTGCTTTATTTTTTATTTTATTTTTATAGAAAAAAAGATTATTTTTATAGGATTATTTTTTCATGCTCATGTGGGGTCATGGGACGATCCCACTTAAAAAAAATTGTGCATCCGCCACTAGATACATACGTACATGAACATATAAGACGTATTCGATCTTATATATAACACTAATCAATGTTTTAACACTTAAAAGAGAGTTTCTTTATTTATAAAAGCTACCAAAAGTCCAAAACATACATCCATGCATGTGACATGATATGCATAATAACCCTTAATATTTTAAAGGTTACAGCAAACAAACACCATTAGCTGCAACATTTAATTTGTAGCAATAGTACAAGTAGATAATTTAAGTTAGTAATATACCATGCATGCATGTACAAATGATGATCTAGCAAAGTAGCAATTCATGACAAGATAAATGGCATGTACATTGGCATGCCATTGATCAAACACTGCAAAGACAAGCATCGAGATCTTTAGCAACGCCAAGAAGATAATCGACGTAAATATCTGCTTCAGGTGCATTCTCATTCATCTTCTCATACTCAAGAATCCACTTTACAGTGCAACCTTCATCCTTTGGAGTTGCTTGAATCTTCGACTTTAATGTCTTGTAGTAGTACTCCACATATGTCCACCAAGATAGTTGTAGCGTACAAGCTTGTTTTCTTTGTCACATTCTTCAACTCTAGTCTTGACGAATGCATGTTCCCCGATTTCATCTGTTGAGGCATTGTTAAAAATAATTGTGCATCATTATCTGTTCGCGTCATAATATATAATAATAACAAATGCGATATGGTCCTTCTCATAATTGTTTTTTTTACCACGCAAATAAAGGTATTTAACATGTTAACAAATACTAATAAGAAGTACTCCATAATGATTTGATTCAATATGATAATTTTAAAAATATTTTACTCGTAAGAAATTTTTTGCTCAAATAAGTTGAACTTAACATATCCTAAATATTATCACAATAAGTGTAAAATATTCTTACCAATGACATAGCTCCAAGTGATGACAGAACCAACTCTATCCCAACACTCCCCTTCATTAAGCTCAACTTTTGGAAATTTAATAGGGCACATTTTAGATACAAGGGACGGGTTCTGACCCCAAATTTCAAAAAAACTTGTTAGCATCACATTTGAGCTCAGCTTGGCCTTCAACCCTTTGAAGCTGAGCCATTTTTCTCTCTTTCTATCTCTTGAAAATAGTATTACTCTTGATTTAAATAAGGTTTTTTTTTTAAATATTTTTTATTTATTTGTTTATTTCTTTAACTGACATATGAATGAAATATGTTGTGTGTTGGGGTTTAAATAGATATGTCGGGGGGGCTCAAATTAAGATAAGAGATGCTCTCTCTAAGCTAGAATGTTGTATCACTATGAACCACTCCTTTGACCATTTTTTTCTTGAGAAAGTCTATGAACCAATCAATAAGCTAGAATGTTGTATCACTATGAAGTGGAGCATTGAATATGAGAAGATGAACGAGGATGCTCCTGAACCAAAAATGCACGTTGCTTTATCACGCGAGCTTGCAAAAGAAATCGATGCTCATCTTTGCAGCGCTTGATGATGATGATAAGCCGCGCCATTGCGTATGCTTAATGCTTATTGCATGGTTCATAGATAAATGGGCAACTTATGCTATATTTGGCTACGTAACTTATATTTTAATTCTAAGGTTTATGCGTGCAATGTATATAATGCCTTGATGCATCTTCGTCAGCATAATGGAACTCAGCACTGTACTATCTAATTGATTTGGCATCCACATGAAGAGGAGTGTTATCCCTGGCCTGTTATAATTGTTAGTAGTGTGTTTGATGTAATCATACAAAGTTTTAAAAAAATCCTATGGCACCATCTGATAAATAGAAACAATAAGTCTTGTGTAAGTTAATTTTATTGTAAAACAGTCAGTTTAAAGGTAAGTTTAACTATTTTTATAGTAACTTTAACCCCTTAGAAGGTAACTTTTAATTTGTCGTTGGTTTGAATGTTATTTTAATGTGTAATTTCTTATATATTCATGTACATACTATAAAGGCTAATATGATTAACCTAATACATTATAAGTTTTTTATAAGATAAAATTTATTATTAGAAAAATAATAACTTTTGTAAGTATAAATGGTAACCTTAAATATTTTTAAGATAACTTTAACCAGTCTTACAATAAATTAACGTACAGTCGCCTTTTTGGAGAATTTGGAATAGAAAATATTATTCAAATATTATCCTCATAGGTTTAAAATATTATTATATTATTGCATAATTTAGTAAGAAAAATTCAAAAAGTGGATATTAACGCTTAATATCTCTAATTATCAACATAATAAAGTTATAAAAAGTGGATATTAATAAAATATACATTGAGACGATTCAAACAAGATCCTACATGACTATATTTTTTCGTATCTATAAATCACAAAAGCGAGTCAAAATATAGTGTGTGAATAGCGTAAAAGTTAAACGATGTCAACTAAAAAAAAACGAAGGTAGTATAAGATAACTACTTGTAATTGAGTAATAGAGATTTTTTTTTTCTTTTTGAGAAAAAGGAGTAATATGGGTTATTGCAATGAGCAAATAGGGTTCCTCCGACAGATGTGGGGTTTGTCTAATGGAAAATTGAAGTCTTTTCGTAAATAAGTTGAGTTATTTTTTTATTAGTTATTTGAAAAACTTAAAACAAAAGAATGAGACAAATGTTCAATGTCCAACACTCTCTTCTCATGCAAATGTTCGATGTCCATGCCCATGCCAGTTTCTCAATTAAAATTTTTAAATATAGTTACTACAAGGTTTTGAATACATGTGATTTATGGAATGAAAAGTGAAGACCATAACATTAATCTCCCATTTTTACATTAATGTTAAATGGTTTAAAATAATAAAATATAATATCTTATAGTTATAACTGTATTGTGTAATTATTTATGCCTCCGCTACATCTACACTAAAAGTAAGTATTTTATACTTTTTATTTATCTTACTCCTTACGGTAATGATATTTTTAAAAAATCAAATATTTCATATTATGCGATTACTTATCACATTATAACTTCAAAATTTTCTCATATACAAAAATCATAGCCAAAAGAGAGTGAGGGATAGCTTAAGTAGTTAGAGATTTCCTCCCGATTTCAGGAAATCCTGAGATCGATTCTCATCCCTGTCTTTATGACTCTCTAAACACTAAAAAAATAGCGAAAATAACAACTTGCCGTATTACGCTGCCGGAGATTCACTCAAATAAAATATGATTTAATTTGATATTCGTTTATGTAGTTATTAGCTTGGAATGAGAAGTGTTCGCTGTAAGTAAAAAAATAAAGGAAATATGTTTTTCTTATACTGTATATCCATTATTGGTATAGTATTAATTAGATTCCAAGCCAGGCCATCTGCATCAAATTTATAAAGGTTCAAAGTGTAAACAGCTGTACAAAAACGTAAGAAAAAAATTTGATTACCCCATATATTCACTTTATGCCCATTCCCTTAACCATATAATATAGGATCTTCTTTTTGAAGAAATAAAGGGGAATCAAACAAGTTAAAGGAGTGATTTATAGTGATACGTACAACATTCTAGAGAGTACATCTCTTAATTTGAGCCTTTAACTCTTCTATTTAAACCTCAGAACATAACATATTTTATATGTCTGTTAAAGAATAGAAAAACATAATTATATCAAGAGTAAGATTATTTTTATTAAGAGACAGAAATTAGAGAGAAAAAAAAAATGTCTCAACTTCAAAGGGTTGAAGACCAAACTGAGCTCAAATGTGATGCAGACAAGTTTTTTGAAATTTGGGCTCACAAACCATTCCTTGTACCTAAAATGTGCCCTAACAAAATTCAAAAAGCTGAGCTGAATGAGGGGGAGTGTTGGGATAGAGTTGGTGCTGTCATAACATGGAATTATGTCATTGGTAAGAATGTACATCTTACAATTAGGCTATGTTTAATCCACCTTTTTTATACTTGTCTGATTTGATTTTAACTTATTATATAATATAATATGATCTAAACTTATTTTTTCTAATATTTTTAAACTTAATTTTTATGATGTTTTGATCTAAACCATTTTTTTTTATCTGATCGATCTGAACTATTTTTTTTTTCTTATCTAATTTGATTGTAGTTATTGCCTGATTTGTCCAAATTTTGATTTAATATGTATACGTACTTTATAAGGAATAACATATTTCAAATGGGGTCGTGGTATTAAAGTGTATATTTTTTTTCATATGTAATTTTCAAAACTTTTACATTACGAAATTAAAGATATTTAGCAATAAAGTCGCATATGAAACTATTAAGAATGACATGAACGTATTTTCCTAATATGATTTGAAATAAATAATAGGGTCCTTAAATAAGGTGAGCTAAATATAGCCTTACTGCTGCATAGCTTACCGCAATAATATATAGGATTTGTGAAGTTAAACTTATTATTTGAGCAAATATTTGCTTAAAAGTATTTCTTAAATTATCAGATCGAATTAAATCATTATAGAGTACTCTATACTTCTTGTTTGTATGTGTTTACATATATATTGCTAAATGTTAAAGAATCAACTCAACCAAAAGTTTAAGTTGATAGTTGAAGCCTAGAATCGATATATACTCTATCATGCGGAGAGCCCTTTGGACTTGAAATGTGGATGCGGCATGAGCCCCCTCATACCCAGCGAGAAATATTTCACTTAAAAGTGAAGGTGGATGAGATTTGAACCCGTAACCCCCTTTGTGTCACGCACGCTGGCTCTTAAATCATGTTAGAGGACCAACTCAATTAATCAAAAGCTTAAGCTTATGGTTGAATCTCATGATCGATATATATACTCTATCACTATATATACCTTTAGAATTCATGAATTTTTTTTGTTTGTGAAAATGATACTATCAAATATTATTACGAACAAGATAGCTAGTAATGCATAATATTTCTAAATATGCCTCTGATCCACAGATGAAGTCGGGGAACGAGCAATCGTGAAGACAAAAATTGAAGAGCTTAACGACGAAAACAGGTGTGTAAGGTACAGCCACCTTGGTGGAAAAATTGTGGAGAAGTACTACAAAGAGACATTAATATCCAAGATTCAATGAACTCCAAAGGATGAGGGTTGTACTGTAACTTGGAGCTTTGAGTATGAGAAGATGAACGAGAATGTTCCAGAACCTGATATTTACGCCAACTATCTTCTTGGCGTTGCTAAAGATATCGGTGCTTCTCTTTGCAATGCTTGATCAAAGGCATATATGCCATTTATCTTGACATAATGCATGCACAATTTCTTGCCATCGTTGGCTGTATGTTATTATAAGGTTTATACATATATATCACATGCACATATGCCTGATAAATAAATAAATAACATTGGCTTTTATAAATAAATAAACTCTAAATCTTTATTGTAAGTGTTTAACATTGGCTTAACAATATGGAGTTCTTCTTATGTTCATGTAAATAGGGATGGTGCTTTTTGTAGTTGGACTTATCTTATAAGTACTCAATACATCTCTTGAGGCGAACTTTGTACTCTTGGGAACCAGATGATCACCAAAAACAATTGGAATCGGTTCCTGAAATTTTGAAGCCGGGCTTGGAACTAGTTAAAAGAATCGGTTCCAAAAAAATTTGAAACCGGGCTTGGAACTGTCGAGGACTAAATTCGGGTATCCAAAGTTATACTTCATAATTATATATACTACATGATGTTAAGAAAATACAAATTCTAGTATCTTAAATTAATCGTTTATTTCATTTTAAAGCTTTAATAATTACATTTGTTAACAGTTTTAGGCTAATTTATGTTTAGGAAAATGTAATATAGGCTACGTATAAGGAACTAAAGTTGAAATAAAAATAGAATGGATAGCATTAATTACATTGATTCATGCGTGATTTTATCATACACACCTAAAGTAATACAAGTACCAAATTAGGATATATATTAAATGTTGTTCTTAGCCCTAAGAGTTACATATACCCTAATTTTTTGTTCAAGTTTAATTAGTATGCCTTTTGGGTTTCACTAATTAATTAAATATATTGAACATAGATATTCTTTTAAATGCATACATTAGTATTTTTTCAATAAATTGATACCCAGACAGTTCTAGAAAAGTTGGAAATTAGAACCACGCATATTCCGATTGCAAAAGGTTGGAAATTAAAACCAATTGATTGCAACTGAGAGATTGTTATATCACTAGGCGAAAAATGTAAAACCGCACCGGTTTTGAAACGGTCCGGATTTGAGGGATGCTAAAAAGAAACACTTTTCGCACCGGTTTAAAACCGGTGGGAAAACTAAGAATTAGCACCGGTTAACCGGTGCTAAAAGTAAGTGCCGCGTTTTTTGTATTTTGGCTTTAACTACAATTGGCGGCGATTAACTGGTGCCCATTATACATGCAAAAAATTAAAAAAAAAATGCAA